ACTCACTCACTCACTCACTCACTCACTCACTCACTCACTCACTCACTCACTCACTCACTCACTCACTCGTTTATTCATTCATTTATTGGTGTGTTGTGACAGTGTTTTCCATAATCTTTTAACAGTTGAAATAATGATCGATAATAAAGAATTGCTGAATTGGCAACTGTACTTTGGAGTCAGGTATTTTTAAGAACCTGTGCAAAAGTTTGGAAAAATCCAACTTGAAATTCATAAAACACAACTTACATAACTGTTATAGATTATGAAATATAAAGCACAATGTGATGCAGGGTCTTGTGAAGCCTGAGCTGCTTTAATGAGTGCATGCAGGGTTGTATGCATTTGTATCCATGCTTATTGCAACTGCATGGGTACAAACTGTTAACATTAGTGCAAGTGTGCAAAATGGTATTCTCTTTACCTTTCAGGTATGTTGTAATACAATTAGGAAGAAGGGCGAAGTAACACACACTGCATTGTGTCCTGCAGTACCAGAAACTGAGACATTTTATTTTGATTTGCTCACTAACTCATCTTTGCTGGTAAGACTGTCAAAGCTGTTAAGCCTCGTGTCAGTCAGTGTTCAGTGAATACTCATACCATCAACTTTCAAGGCTTATTGAGTTTGCCAGTTGTAGGAAATAACACCAACTCTTAGCTTTGAGAGGCTCCATTACTCACCAGTATGTTGGAAAAAGAGTGCTCATTTAGCTCATCCCATCCCAACTTGAGCAGGATTCTCCGTGAGGAACTCTTGGCTGCGTTTWCTTTTCACGTTATTTCACAGCTTGGTCAATGGAGCTTTTGTTATGTTGTTGTATTGAGCTAATTTACCCACAGTGATTGCTGTGTCTTACCCACTGGTGTAAGCCAAGACTCMGTTTCTCTGTCTCTTTTGATACACTGATAGCAATTCTGCTTCCTTTCTGGTTTTCTAAGAACGGTGACTAAATGAAGTTGAATCAATGGCTGCTATTGTCTGAGAGGTACGCTGAGAGTTGACTGAACACTCTGGCTCAGCTGAAGACTCTCCCATGGTTGACGTAGTGCCTGAAAATGAGCAAACTGAAACAAGTTGTTTAATAGAATCTAAATGGCATTAAATAAATTTACCCTTTGATGTATTCATCACACATTTGTTGGCTCTAATTGTGAATACTCGCGATCTCTATTTACACTTCTTCTCTCTATATGCCCCATTAGATGTCCTGAAATTAAAATAACATGAACGATTGACTGTGTTTTTGTGRCAGCTGGATGATTGAGCAGATGCAGGTAAAKATCATTTTGTGTGAGAAAATGATTGTCCTCATTAACGGACTACATGCTTTTCCTTTCTGTTTATTGCGTGAGTGTAAAGCATTCCTGTTTTCGGCGAGGATGCRCACACCTATGATTTATCACCAGTGTCACGCAGCGTGGCAGCAGAGGGAGCATGTCCCCATATTGCCACACATCTATTTTTACCTGCTTATTGCTTACCAGCACGCTGGAGACAAAGTGATTGGGAGATGTAACAGATCAAGGGATGAAAGAGGGAGAAAGCAAAGGAAGCACGAAGAGAGGAAGGGAAAGACTTGTGAGGAAAAGAAGGAAAGAAAAAGAAACAACCCAGAAATAGATGCCATCAGCTGTGTAATTTCTTTGTGCAAACATCCATAAGCGAGCACCAGCACAAAAAGCAGAATGAAGGACATTTAAAAAAAAATCCTCACCGTTGTTTCAGTTGTAACACTTTTTGGCATGCTGGCCAATTGTCAGCACCCGTTTCAGACAGTTACTCGAGTCTCACGGCTATATGCCAAATCTCACACGAGCGCACACACTCGCACACAATTTCCCCAAACATATGGTCGGATCTCACTAGGTGTTACCACAATACTTCACACTCTACCCCAGTGTGAAGGACTATCAACAAACAATGGATAATCTCCCTTTTTTGGTCTGCCATCACTGTAGGATGAGAAATTCATCCTTTGTCTAACAAATTGTTGCTGCTGTTTTCTTTTCCATCAGTCTTATAGGGTTAAATTAGCAATGCACTGGTCTCTGTCAGATTGTTCTTAAAGTAAATATGCTAATGTTTTAAATGCTCATAAACTTTTAGTTTACATTARTTGTTGCTCCTTTCTTTTTAAGCTTGGTTCTTTCTTCAACACACTACAGATATTACAAATGACTMACTGTGTCCTCAGTAAAAAGCCTCCACACAAAGGACATGCTAGTGTTTGTTAGCCACTTGGTTACAGTGCTTTTACAGAATGGAAAAATAAATCAGAATTTTACTTGTGGTGCCTTGGATTTAGTCTAAAACGAAAGAAAGATCATAACTTTGATTTTCACATGCATTTGATTTCAGCTTTTATAAACATCACTTGTTCAYTTTAGAACAATCCCAGATGTTTGAACAGTCCCTAATAGTAACACTACATTATATAACTCTATGAAAACTTTCTCAATCGATTCTCAGTTGCCTTTTTTATTTGCAAAAAACTCTTGTTCCTTTGTGGCCCCACAACGTTTTAAAATTTATTTGGTTTTTGGAGGGTATTTACTATAAGTATCACTGCTGGATAGCACCAGAGCTTGAAGATGACAGACGTTTTGAGTGATGAACGTTTTTTTTCTTTTTTTTTTGTCAGATGCAGTATGATGCTAATCAAGTATTACATGCAAATAATTGAAAAAGTATTTGAAAGTTTGCGAGTACTGAAATCCATTTCAAAACTGTATTATTCCCAGCTGAAATCAGCTAACTTTGACTTTGTCTGATTACGTGTCTAGGTACAACCCGCACCCCACGTGAAGGAGAAGTCTCCGGCGTGGACTACAACTTCCTCTCTGTAGAGGAGTTCCTGGAGTTGGAGAAAAGTGGAACCCTGCTAGAAATAGGAACATATGAAGGTAAAATCTTCTTGTTCAGTTGTGTCTATTCTTGCCAACATCTGTTGATGAGGGGGATAACAAAAATGTAGGACTTTGATATTAGCTACAGGAATAGTTGGAAGTAAAACCAACAGATTAAAAGAAGAAAATAAATCAGTACCTAAGTAGCAATAAGTAGCATTAATCAGCAATAGAACCTTAAAAACACAGCTCAGGTTTGTAGTAGGGTTAAGGAGGGTTCTGTTGGAAAGCTTTTGATCAGTTGAATTGCTATATGTTATAGATAATTGCTCTTTGAACAGCTTTAAGTTCAGAGCAGATTAAGGAGTGAGTGGTTCCCCTGAAGTCTCAGCAGGACCAAAACCAAAGTGTGTTGTTGCTCTCTTCAAACCACTCCAGTCTCAAAAATGTCACAAAGAATATGAAGGAAATCTGTGCTGATAAACTGTCCCGTCCCATTTTTGGCACTGATTTCCTTATTTATGGGAGATTTTCCGATACTTAGAAAAGATTGGTGGAAAAGACTGGCTTCTCTACCTCCACAAAGGCCTGAAAGTCAGCCACTGTCCCCTTTTGCTCTGCTGTGAGCACTGCCTAATGTCCAGTTAAAACAAGTTTATATTGTTTCAAGGAAAATGAATTTATAGATTAAAATTGGAATACTGAAGATTTGTTGTGACCTCATAACACTCAACAGAGTCAGCTATTTAAAAAAAAAAACTGGTATCGACCTAAATCTGAATCGGTAKGTCTGACTTTTTAATGATCTGTGATTGGCCAGAAAACAGCGATTGGTGTACCCCTAATTGTTAGACAACAGGGAAAAAAAGTTTTCACTTTTCTTGTTTTTTGTCAATCCACAAGCCTGAATATTTATGTTCTTTTAACATCCTTAGATTTTCTTCATTGTTCGCTTAATTCAGTTTCTCTCTTAAACTTAAATGTTGCTGCCTAAATTTTTTAAAACAGTGACGTTTTAACCAGTAAAGAACATTTCAGTGGTTGGAGTTCATCTTTCATAAACAACCTTGTGGTCGAYGTTCTGCCTTCAGCTAATGCATAAGTGTTACTTCCCACACTATAATCAACTGTAGCTGTGTCTTTCAGTCAAGGTCCAAATGCTTCACTGGTTGCATCAACATTCAGTGGTTAAACTGAAATTAAGTCCCTCTACCACTGTTTAAAGCCATGGTCTTGGTGTTGTCATACAAAAGCAGAATGTGTTTTACACAATGTTCTACATTGTTGTGTTATTTGTAAGCCATATATATGATTTCATTCTACAAGAGTAATTAAATTACCTTTTGGACTAAGTGGAAATTATTAAAATTAGGTAAAAACAAAGATTCTACTCAATTAACAAAATTTAGATCAGAACTACATGCAGTCGGCTTCAAATTGTAGTCGATTTTTCTTACCAAAGAGTCATATTTTAGTAATGTTTTCACATTGGTTTGTGGAAATAACCAAATCCCCCCTTAAAAAACCCCAGCCAGTAGAATTTGCTTTTATTTGGTCTGCTCTTTTAGCGCAATCACAATTTCAATAGATTTTGCTTCTTTTTAAATATGTCTAAGTAAATTGCTTGTTTAAATTTGGTTAATGTTCAAAATGACTTCAGAAACTTTAAAAACTGCTAATGCTGTTCTCATTCTCTCATTACCTGAAACACAACATTGCTTGTTTACTCTGAACTTTACATGACAAAATGTCTTTAGAGCTGCCTAGTGGTATTTATTTATTTATTTATTTATTTATTTATTTATTTATTTATTTATTTATTTATTTATTTTTGATGAGCATAATTGGATTTCTGCATGTTTTCTTCACTCCTCTCTGAAATTCTTGGTGCAGCAGACAGTTTGTACATGTACAAAGTGCTTAAAACAAAAGAGAATAACTTGAAAGGAAACAGCTATCGGTAGTTTATATGTTTGTATAAACACAGTTCTCTTGTGTCTAGATACTTGTCGAGTTAAATCTAAACACAAGAGAAATTTAAACCATTTAAAATATGTCATTTTGCTTGAGAACTACTTCTAAAGTAATTTAAGAATTGCGCGCACACACACGCACACACACACACACACACACACACACACACACACACACACACACACACACA